CCTGGAAGCCTTGGATGCAAAGACCTTGTGTCACTCGGAGCTGCTGGGCAGGTGGGCTAACCCAGGCCAGTCATTTCCCTTTGGATGATCCTGCTTAATCCTGATGGTAAAGTAGACCCATCCAGCCATCCGTTCACTCAGCAAATATTTAGGGACCACTGCCCAGTGGATGAGGTTTATCCACTCACAGATGCCAGCCCTTGAGAGTTCCACATGAGAGGAATGAAGACCAAAAGGCTCTAATCCTGCCTGAGTGTGAACCCGCTAACTCTGGCGTGACCATGGCTCCTGGCACAGCGCAGCCCATGGTGAGCACCCTCAGCTCTGGTTTAGCTTCGCCTCCTAAGGAAGGGCAGTTTACAAAACCTCTTCCGGGAAGTCGCTCACATGATTGAGGGTGCTTCTCAGGCTATTCTTAAAGCTTGTGGCGAATTAGAATAGAGGAATGGGCCTGAAGCACGGGGTGGGTGGAGGCGCTGGGAGAGCCACACCGCAGCCCGTCAGGCACCAAGGGGTCTCGGGCTCAAAGCCCCTCTGAAAGCAAGATTTGCATCCTGGGCTGGCTTTCCTGGTGAGTTCCAGAGGGAGCAATCTCTGCTATGACTGAAGATGCTCAGAGAGGATGCAGGAAGGTCGGCGGAAAGGACCTGGTGCTCCATGCTGAGGAATGTGAACTTGACAGTGATGAAGACCCATTGGCAGGATTCTAAGCAATGAGTGGTCCTGTCAGATCTGCGTCTTAGAAAGGTCGCTCGGCCATGGAGAATGGTTTGGGGTGTGTGTGGTAGGGGCTGGGGGACAGCTGCCCAGTGATGGACCCTTTGCAGTGAGAAGGTGAGAGATGAGAGGGCCTGGGCCATCCCAAGCCAGGGCCCTCTGTCTAAATAGTGGTGGAGGTGGGGAGGAGAGGCCAGTGCAGAGGGAGATTCGCCAGGACATGGTGACCGATAAGCAGGGAGCCAAGGGTAAGAGTGTAAGGCGACTCTAGGGTATCTGCCAGACCACCTTAGATGGTGACACTCTTCCCTGAGCTGTGGGAGGCAGCCCGAAGGGCAGGTTTGGGGAAACAGAGAACGTTAGGCTTTAGATATGCCCCATTTGAGGTTCACTCTGGGAAGGGTTCAGTAGCGTTTGGTCCCTATGTGGGCCTGAAGCTCGGGACACAGGGCAGGGTTGGAGGTAGAAATCAAAGAGCCGCCCCCGAAACAACAATGAGAAGCCATGCAGTGGCTGAGCAATTCCAAGAGAGGCAAGACGTTTGTAGGGAAGAAGCCACATATTTAAGAAGAATTGCCATCGTCTGAGGCCAAAGAGAATCGGGAGGCTTGGGGGAAAGTCGTGTCATGAGAAGGTGCCCCATGCCCGCAAATTACTGCTGTGATGTGAGCTAGGGGAGCAGTGTCATCCCAGCCCACGCCTCCCACTGAAAGGCTAGTCCCGGCTGCCCCAGGCCTGCAGGTGCAGACTGTGGGCCCTGAGTCCGTCTGCGAAGAAGACCTCCGAGAGCAGCGGTTCTCAACCTGTGGGTCGCGACCCCTTTGGCGGTCGAACGACCCTTTCACAGGGGTCGCCTAAGACCATCCTGCATATCAGATATTTACATGACGACTCATAACCGTAGCAACATGACAGTTATGAAGTAGCAACGAAAATAATTTTATGGTTGGGTCACAACATGAGCAACTGTATTTAAAGGGCCAGAAGGTTGAGAACCACTGTCCTAGAGGCAGACAAGCCTAAATGATTAGAGCACCCTTTCTGCTTGAGTCCAGACACTGCTGTGCGTTCCTTTCCAACAGGCAAGCCACAACCAATCAACATGGGTTGATTTGAAGGGGTCCACTTGACTCCACGTTTGTTTGACCCTCCTCAACCAACAGTATTGGCCTCAGCCACCTTGTCCTTCTGAGGCAACTGGAATCTCTTGTCCTGCCTTCCTAAGTCCCTTCCTCTCAGGCCCTGTTTCTCATGTGGGCCATGCCTCTGTAGTCACATGATCTGCATCAGGAATGACCGGATTACGGCCCTCATCACTTGTCTTTCACTGGTGAGTTAACAAAAAGGCTACTTTAACAGCCATCCCCAGAGTTTCTTCCAGGTGAAAGCCTCTTCATGCAGGAAAAGACCACCCTAGCCTCACATGGGTGGGGAAGGGACAAACTACATTTGTTTTTAGTTTCCATATTGATCAACAGTGTCTGACGTTTATGGTGCTGTAAACGGGAGAGACTGTTGGTTTCTGTTTCACAGAGTCAGTATTTGTTTACTATCGTGATTTCTATTATCATGTCAAAGCTCTGTTGCCCCTCCGTGGAAGGGAGGTCAGTCTGTTAACCTGACATTCTGTTAACCAGCTTGGAGGGAGATGGCAAAGCCAAGGCGAGACCGGGCTCCTGGGCCTGAGAAGCCAACAGAGGCTCCGAAACGGGGCCAAGGTCCAGAGGCTGCAACGTGGAGGAGGCTGAAGGAGGAGGAAAAGGTGTAAGCACCCCATAGGGGAAGCGGGAGCCTGAGGAGACAGAGCCAGGGAGAAGCTTCCAGGGAGAAGAGACCAAAAGATCGGGAGACTCTGGGCTGCTCAGACTTTCATTCTAAGCCATTTGCCTGGCTGTGAGGCAAACTGCCTGTGTTGCCACAAACCTTCAATAAAGGCTGTGCTTCATGAAACACCTTTGTTAGTGGTTTTGTTTTTATTTTTGCTTTATTTGGGAGGGAGTGTCACAAACGTGGGCCAAGATCCTGACCTAAGTTGGCAAAGCAGAACCCAGGGAATGAGGCACAGCAGTGAGTTCAAGGTTGAGAAGCTAAAGCTGACACCGCTTCCGGAAGATTCTGAGAGGGATGGTGGTTTGCACCACATTGGGATGGGATGTTGGTGTGAATTGATCTTCCCAGGGCAGGCGGACAGCCCCTGCGCCTCTGATACTTGCGCTACATTTGTTTTTAGTTTCCATATTGATCAACAGTGTCTGACAGTTATGGTGCTGTAATTGGGAGAGACTGTGGTTTCTGTTTCACAGAGTCAGTATTTGTTTACTATCGTGATTTCTATTATCATGTCAAAGCTCTGTTGCCCCTCTGTGGAAGGAAGGTCAGTCTGTTAACCTGACATTCTCTACATGGGGGGTGGGCACGGATGCTCTAAGGGTGAATGCAGCAGCTGCAGGTTGGGGTTAGACACTCAGGGCCATACACCTGTATGTAGGGGCCTGATCGGTTTGGCCATGCAAATTCCGTAATTGGTCCGGTCATTCCTGATGCAGATCATGTGACTACAGAGGCATGGCCCACATGAGAAACAGGGCCTGAGAGGAAGGGACTTAGGAAGGCAGGACAAGAGATTCCAGTTGCCTCAGGCCCCACCAAGAAGGACAAGGTGGCTGAGGCCAATACTGTTGGTTAAGGAGGGTCAAACAAACGTGGAGTCAAGTGGACCCCTTCAAGTCAACCCATGTTGATTGGTTGTGGCTTGCCTGTTGGAAAGGAACGCACAGCAGTGTCTGGACTCAAGCAGAAAGGGTGCTCTAATCAATTAGTCTTGCCCGCCATCAGAGCGGGAAGAGATGTATGTGCCATATATTTTCCATCCCGGTACAGACTGTGGGAAGGGTGTGTGCACACGGTGGGAGTAATTACAGAACATCTTCCTCTAAGAGAAAGGTAAAATCTGAACCCCAGGAGAGCTCCTTGTTTCAATTATTTCTCAACTCCGTCAAATGATCTTCCCAGACCTGTATCTGGGTCTCTGGGATCCACAGAATTTAAAGATGAGAATTGCAAGGAGGAAAGAGTGGTCAATAGTGCAAAGGCTGTAGAGAGGTCAAAGAATATAAGTGCCAGCACAATTCCCATCTGATCTGGCAACAAGATGCAGAATGCCGGGGGCAGAGGTCGGCCTGCAGAGCACTGAATGGGAGGTGGGGAGAGAGCCAGGCTGCACAGAGCTTTCACGATGCTGGCGTTTCTGGTAGTACAGGGAAGCTTGCTGGCCCAGCGGTGCACCACCAGATTTTAAAAGGTGGATAAAAAACCATGTACCTGCATTATAATCTTAATTATGTATCTATTCATAATATATGTACTGAAAGGAAATGGAAAGACATGAAAATGGTGGTTAAAACAAATACATTTTGTTTCTCCTTTATTCTTTTCTGTTATTTTCTAAGATTATTTAAAACTGATCATGTGTTACTATGTTTTTGCTATTGTTAATCCTCACCTGAAGATATTTTTTCCATTGATTTTTAGAGAGAGTGGAAGGAAGGGGGAGAGACAGAGAGAAACATCCACGTGAGAGAGATACATCAATTGGTTGCCTCCCACACGTGTCCTGACTGGCACTAGGGTTTGAGCCTGCAACTGAAGTACGTGCCCCTGACCAGAATCAACCCTTCAGTCTGCTGGCCGATACTCTAACCACTGAGCAGCCAGCCAGAGCAATCATGTGTGTTATTTTTATCATCAGATAAGATACAAATAAGAGCCAAAATTGACAAAGACCTGGGAAAACCACGGCAAGCTTCTCACCCCAGCTGGGGGCTGAGGCGGATGTAGCATTGAAGGGAGGTGGGATTTGGGGGGGATGACTGTTGGAGTAAAGACATTCTGAGCATATTTGCAGATGGAGAGGAGGACACCATTAAATAGGAGGAGCGGTTGGGTTTATAGGAAAGAGAAGAACTAATTGCCAGGGTGAGGTCAGAAGGAAAGCAGCTGGGAGAGAGATCCACGCACATGAGGAGCTGGTCTGTGACGGGGAGAGAAACCATGTTTCCTCTGAGACAGGAGGGTAGGGGGTGAGGGCAGACTGTTGATATCGGGGAAAGAGAGTGAGAGAGCGCACACCTGAGGGCTAGGAGGTCGGGTGAGGGTGAGAAGACCCTAGAATGCCTGGGGTCCCCCAGGCCCTGCTGGAGTGGATGGTACAGCTCCCTCACTGAAGACTGGATCCCACTGAAGGCTCCAGCATTCTCTCCCACAGGACCCGGCCTGGAACCTACCTCTGCAGGAGGGGAGGGGGAAGTCCCACGTGGCACTGCTCTCGGAGCCTGCGTGGCAGGTGAGGATGGCGTGGCCCTCCAGGAAGAAGCCGGGGTTGCAGCTGTAGCGGACCTTGTCGCCCAGGTTGAAGGTGGAGCCCTGCTGGATGCCGTTGGGCAGCCGCCCAGGGTTTCCACACGTGTGACTCGGGAGCACTGTGAGAGAGGGAGAGACACACGGCCGTGAGCGGGGCTGGAGCCTGACACTCTGCTTCAGAGCAGCACCTCCCTGGGTGCGACCTGCCCGCCTCCTTTCCCCTATGGGAAGGAGTTGGCCCTCTCAAGGCCTCCTGGTCCCAGAACACTCTCAGAGGTCACGCTAAGGAGGAGCCACACCTGTGACTTAGAACAGACGGTCCGGCTTCCTGCCTTTTCTCCTGCACAGCCCTGGATGTGGAGTACCTCCATCCCATCACTCCAGATGCCCTGGGAAGCACTTTAATCTCCTGGATTTGGTTGCCCTGATTTCAGACTCCACACTCCTCAGAAACACCATGGAAGGGACAGGGAGCTCGGCATGGAGTAGCTGCTCATTAAACCCGATGTGCTTTCTTTCATGTGCGTCTGTCCTCACAGCCAGAGGGGAACGCTGGCCCAGGAGGTTGGAGGAGCTGAAGGAGTCATTAATGCTGGTGTAGGCAGTGAGGTGGGAAGACAAGAGCCTTGTGTTTTGATCTGACCCGACGGAGAAAGTGGAGCTGGAGAACACGCTGCACACTGTGCGACCTCAGACAAAGGCGCCCCCAGCTGGGAAGTGCCCTTATTATCCAGAGGAAGCAGTCTCGGTGAGGGTGCGAGAGCTTCGTGACCCCCCAGTCAGGAGGGAGGGAGCGTGCAGCTCCTCTGTGTCTGAGTCGCCATTCACCTCGACCCAACTCCCCCTACCCTCTGCCTTTCTCCCCAGAAGTGGAGCTGCCTGTGCACAGGAGGTCATGCTCCCACCACTCCAGGATGACCCCAAAGGGCTGGGACGAGGGGTCACAACCACATCCAGACTCCCATCTAAATACCTCTCCATTAATTCCCCCGGAGATGATTTGCTGAGGCTGAAGAACAGGGTGGTGTTGAGTACAGACTTGAGAGCCGCAGTGCTTAGGTTTGCATCCCTGCCTGATGGCTTATTGCCTATGGGAACTTGAGCAAGTCTCTCAATTTCTCTGTGCCTCAGTTTCCTCATTTGTAAGACGGTGATCACAATAGTACCTTCCTCCCTCATGGGGTTGTAGTGAGAATTAAATGGAGTTAAGACATAGGACAGAGTCTGGTATACAGTAAATGCAACGTAAGTGAATCTACACTCCCAGTTCAGTGGAAGATGTGGGTGGATAATGGTATGTTGTGTTATGATGGGATAGGGACCAGGGAGCGGACCGACCAAACCCAGTGTAGGTAGGTCAGAGACAGCTTCCTGGAAGAGGTGCCACCCATGACGAACCCTGAGATTAGTAAGAATTATTAGCTTATGCCACAGAGTGTGCCAGGGGGAGGAAATGTCATGTGCAAAGACCTTGAGGCTAGAGGTAGCCTAGGAGCTCGGGGAGCCTGGGGTGAGAGGCAGGATGGGGGCAATGATGAGGTGGAGATGATGTGGAGGTGGCCAGCCTGGATCCTAGAGGGCCCCCAGGCCCTGCAGTACCCTCCTGCCCATGTTGGCAGGAACACCTGGCAGGAACCCCTCTGCCAGCCCTAATGGACTCAGAACCTGCAGAGAGCTTTCCCTCCTCCTTCTCCTCTCCTTCTAGGAGGACAGCTCAGGTGTAGAGGCTGTGACAGGTCAGACTGAAACCAGCTTGGACTGTGTCTGAAACCAGGTGCTGTCACCATCTTGAGCCATGTGACTTCTCTGAGCTCTAGTTCCACAACTGAGAAAGGAGGATAATTATCTAATAAGTGGCTGAGAAGGTTACCAATAATAAAGGACGCATGCATGGCACCATGCCCAGCACGTGACAGATGCTCAAAAAATGGCAGATGTTATCATTCCCCTGGACTATAATGCCACGAGGGCAGGGGCCTGGTCTGGTCCCTGGGCTATCCTGGGAGTCTACCACAGTGCCTGGCACTTGTAGGGACATAGTTGTGTATTCATTAACTAGTTGTTTGGGAAAGTTATTCATTCTTATATTAATGCCTTCATGGAACAAAAATTTACTATGGGCCTACTGTGCTTGGAGTAGTGAATTAGACAACGCGGGTCCCCGTCCTCAAGAGGCCTGTTTTTGTGAGTTACCTTAAGGAAGAGCTCTTCCTTGCCGATTCTCTACTTCTGACAAGTGAGATGACCCAGACAAAAGAATTTACCTCCATCAGCCTGTTCATTAGCTTAGCTTAACATTTCCCATAATTACACACTGCTGGTTTCCTTGGCATTTCCCATAATTGGCTGCTGGCTTCCTTAATGCTTCCCATGATCCCATGCTGCTGGCTTGCTTGGCATTACCCATGATCCTCCTGTTGGCTTCCATGTTGTTTCCCATGATCCTCCTGCTGGTTTATATGGCATCCCATAATCCCATTCTACTGGCTTGCAGCAGAGGCAGTGACTGTGGTGTGTGTGTGTGTGTGTGTGTTGGGCGTGGGAGGGGCTGGTCAGGTAAACATTTGGAGAAGAAAGCTAAGGTGAGGGGAGGGAGCCAACCAGGGGGAATGGGCTGAGAACTGGTGTAGAACTAACCGTTCATTTTCAGCAACGGGACCCAAAGACCCAATTTAATTAAATTACTAATGTCAAATTTTTAATGAGCCTGCTTCTGCTTTGGGCTTTCTTCCTTCAAAATTAATGACTGGAGCGTCACTATAAATAAAAGTCGATTCTTTTTAAAAAGTCACTCTCCAACACTCACTGCACTTTACTTAATGAACTGTTCATAATCAGACCACTCCAGCCAGGTGCCTCCACCAGGACTTGGTTGTGATGATGGGGCTCGTTCTAACTTCACTGCCCTTTTCTTCTTGAGCTCTGCTCCTGAGAGGCCACCTAGTGATCAGAGAGGGCAGACGGGCTCAGAGTGGCCCAGACTCAAATCTCAGTTCGACCACCTATAGATGAGTGATCTGGAGACATAAACTTTACCTCTCTGAGCTTCAGTTTTTCATCTAAAAATGAGGATACTTTTTTAAAAAATATATTTTTATTGATTTCAGAGGGGAAGGGAGAGGGAGAGAGAGAGGTAGAAACATCAGTGATGAGAGAGAATCACCGACCAGCTGCCTCATGCATACCCCTACCAGGGATCAAGCCCACAACTGGGCATGTGCCCTGACTGGGAATTGAACCACGACCTCCTGGTTCATGGGTCAACGCTCAACCACTGAGCCACGCTGACCGGGCAAAAATACTTTTTATTCCCATGGCAGGGGTGTATCAGTTTGGTAGGGTTGCTGTAACAAAGTACCACAAACAGGCTGGCATAAAACAATAGGCACTTCTTGTCTCACAGTTATGGAGGCTAGAAGTCCAAAATCAAGGTGTCGGCAGGGCCATGATCTCCCTGAAACTTTTAGGGAAACCAACCCTTCCTTGTATCTTCTTAGCTTTTGGTGTTTTTGTTGGCTGGGAATGCACGATCCAATCCTTCATCATCACATGGCATTCTCCCTCTATGTCCCTGTGTCCAAATTTCACCTTTTTATAAGGGCACCAGTTATGTTGGATCATCTTAACTTCCTCATCTGGAAAGACCCTATTTCCAAATGAGGTCACATTCATAGGTCCTGGGGGTTAGGACTTCAACATATTTTGGTGGGGGCACAGTTCAACCTGTAACAGGGCTATTGTGCAGATTACATAAAGATCAAAATCATCCTGTGGGATACCTATTATCCTCATTCTACAGATGGAAAAACAGAGGCACAGAGAGCTTAAGTAACTTGCCCAAAGCCACACAGCTAGAAAACGGAAGAGCTAGGTTGTGACTCTAGGCCAGTGATGGCGAACTTTTTGAGCTCGGCGTGTCAGCATTTTGAAAAACCCTAACTTAACTCTGGTGCCATGTCACATACAGAATTTTTTTGATATTTGCAACCATAGTAAAACAAAGATTTATAGTTTTGATATTTATTTTATATATTTAAATGCCATTTAACAAAGAAAAATCAACCAAAAAATGAGTTTGGTTGTCACCTCTGGCACGCGTGTCATAGGTTCGCCATCACTGCTCTAGGTCTTTCTGGTTCCATTGTTCAGCACTCCTAGTTGGGACGTAATACTACTTCTGACAGAGACAAGGCATCCAGCACATAGTGGGTGCTTAATAAACAAGAGTTCCTTTCCTTCCTTTATCATTCTAGGCACTGTGATAAGAGGAAGGGTGATTATCTCAGTATCCAGACTTAATAGTCTGTTTTCCCCCTCCAGTCTGATTTGCCAATGCTGTGCTTTTTAATAACGTCAAGCGCAACATTCAAAGTGTGGCCTTTTGTAATATATCTGATGCACAACTTGCCGGACAGACAGAGGAGATGGGAGATAAGCCACAAAGCGGAGCCTTTCTAAGGCTCAGTGTTCTTTGATTTTTTGATTTTGCCCCTGTGTTCCTTGGCACAGATATTATAATCGTTCATGCTCTCCCGTCTATAAAACTTCCCTTTGATTGCTTACAAAATGAAGAGTGGGATATTTACATCCAACGTGGCCCAGAACAATGTTATTAAAGCTGTGCCTGGCGCTGAACAATTCCATTGTAGATTAGCAGCAGGGAATTTTGTCCCTTCTACAAAGCCAGGCTCTTGCCAATCAACATAATATTCTCCAGGATTGCATAACAATAAGCTCCTCTGTGGTTGGAGAGCAGCAAAAGCTACATCCTGCCTTCTTTCATTTTTAATTTGAGACTTTAGTTCCTATATTATCATGAAGAGTCCTTTATGCTCTCTGGACAAGCACCCTCCATATGTTTTGATTTCTCATCTCCATCAAGAAACTTGTTTCCTCTCCACGACCATACAGTTGATACAGAGTTGTGGGATGACTGGGAAGAAGGATTCGGGTAGAAGAATTTAAGCTGCCACCACCCTGAACATGGAAAGAGGAGATGATGCTATACGTATGTGTGCGGTGTGTGTGCGTGCGTGCGTGTGTGTGTGTGTGTGTGTGTGTGTGTGACTGAGGGTATTGGTCATGGGAGAAAGAAACACAAATACTCTCTTTTGAGTAC